TTTATTATTAAATAGGTTCATTGATGATTATTCAATGGCACATGTTTATTCCCTTTCTTGATATTATTTGTAGTGAGAGAGACCTAGAAAAAATAAAGAGGTCGGAAATAAACTTCAATTTAAATACTTTCCTCTTATTTTCCACAAAAAGGAAAAAAGGATTATTATTGTTTGATTTCATTACTGATATATATTTAAACTTTAATGAAATAAATAGCAAAATAGACTAGAGTTCTATTTGATGAACTAGTCAACAAAACATTTTTTGTTTCCAAAGAAATTCTGGGAATGTGTATGTTGCAAATGTACATGGCATCTGACATTTATGACACGAGGGGAAAAAGTCAGGACAGATTTGCTGATAAAATAACACTCAGATACTGTGTTTGAAATGGCCGTGTTAAGATTTCTTCATTTATGCAAAATAAGTTATTATGCAAAATAAGTTATTTTAAATCTGTCTTTTCTCATATTTTGTCCTTCAATTTAACTTAATGCTTGAATTTTCCTTACTGTATAAGGCTCTATGCCAAAATCTTTATGTATACCCTAACAAATTTAGTCCACCTAACAGCCCTATGAAGTTAATTCTATTATTGGTCTCCTCTTTTTTTTGTAGGAGGAAATACATTTTAGGTGGCTAAAGCAATTAGGATTCTGATCCTGGTCTGTCAGGTCTCAGACCTCCAGTCTTAACCACTGTGACCATTGCTTGATTAAGTGGGAAGGCAGCCCATGGAGGAGTCTTAAAGCTTATAGGCACAGGAAATCTCCCACAGGCAATCCTGAAGATCAACATTCAAATATATCCACGTGCATAAGCTATCCAAAAAATAGGTACACACCATCCTGCTTTAGTTTATGCAATTACATAGATGTTTGTGACATGGAAACAGTGATACATATCCTTTTTGTTAAGTTTAGTAACTTCACATGATGATGACTATAGGAAGACTGCTGGCAAGAAAATATTTCTGCACCGTTAAATCAACGACAGTGGTTTAATATCAAGGTAGGGCAATTCTTTCTGCTGAGTTCGTCAGGAGCTTGACTGGGGTTTGAATGGTTTATTGGGTGAAAATAATAGCCAGTAGTTTTCAGAAATCCAGGATGGACAAAATGACATACTTAATGCAAGAGAACTTTTTAAAAAGGTGTCTACTTGAATTCTAAAGGACACATGGTTACCAAAAGGAACACACCTACACAAGCTTACAAGTCGCGCTGTAATTAGATTCTACACGCTGAGTCCCTGCCATGCATCAGGAACTGTCCAGGCACCGGCGACATAGCAGAGTATGAGTCCGGGCTTGTGTGTGGTGTCCGAGCTTTCTCTTAAAAGGGAAACTCAGGTGAAGAGGGTCACCATTGCGAACTGGCCACTTGGGACAAATTGCTCTTAAGTCATAATTTATCAAGTTGTGATTGTTTGTTTGTGTTCTGGATAGGGGGAGAGGATGGGGCACTAATAGGTACTGAAGACTGAGTCCAAGAAACCAGGGTGCACAGTGGGAAATACACAGCCATGGCGGTGGTGTCAGCCGAAGGTGGGGGAGGGGTAAATCCAGGCTGAGCATGAGGAGGGGGCTCTGGAAAAAGCCATCACTGGCCATCAAGAGGTCCATGGGCAGACATGGAAAGATTTACAACTGGAAATATATTTTTTAAAAATTCAGGAGCTCTTCTTATTCCACTTAAATGTGAAGACTGATCAGCATAAACAAAACACTTGACCCAGAAGAGAGCTTCACAATTTGGTATCACACCAAGAAAGGCAATGGGGAAATATAAAGAAAAATGCCCAGTGCAGGTCTCCACAGGAAGCAGGCAAGAGGTTAGATCACTTCCACGCACATATTTCCGCTTATTTGGAAGAAAAGGAAAATAATAAATTATCCAGTCCTCAGGAGCATGTGAGTAATTTCCAGCACAGATGTGCCCCCTGCTGCCGACAGACCTGGAAACACTATGGTGTCTCCACTGCCAGATCCCGGTCTGTGGTCACAGGGGAAGGCGCAGTGACTGGCAGAGCCCTGCCCACCTAATAGCTCAGTCTTTGCCTTGAGCATCTCTGGGAAGCTGCACGATTTTCAGTTTAAGACAACCTGTGGATTTGCAGTGGATTGCGTTGTAATGTTTATTTGCTCAGTCAGACTCAGGTGTTAACTTCTAACTACTGGCAAAAATACCTACCCTGAACTGCTTCTGAGGTGCTTCACTGCTAGAAATCTATGTAACCTGTGATTATAAGGAGTAAGCGGGAGCTCTTTTTGGAAATGATATTTGAAAGTCTGGAAGTTCAATTTATGACAACTTCTTCAGAAATGAAAAAGAAAGACAAATCTTGGGGGGAAAGTACCTGTAGTTAGGGAGAATCTGATTAGAACCAGTTTGCAGTTTAACTCTAATCAGGAAGCCTGACTACTTAGCACTGTCAGAAAACTCGATTTCAACACTCTGACCTACCTATCATCAGAATGTGTTGGACTTTGCCCATAGGTGACCTCTCCAGCCAGCGGGGATTGCTTCCGGTTTCCCCACGTGTTTCTAGGAACACAGACCTTCTCTCTCTGTGGTCCTTTCCTGCCCAGGGCACACAGTGGGATGGCATGACTGAAGCAGGTGGAGAAGCTCTAAAAGACAGGATGGACTAACTCCACGTACCAGTATGGTGTGTCTCACCATGTCAAAACGTTTATCTTTTTGTTTCTCATTATAAAACATACTATTAGTGTTTGGAAATGAATTCATACCATATGATATAGAAATGGAAGAAGCCCCATGGGACAGTGCATATTTGACGGAAGGGCAGCCGTGGTCTAGACCAGTGGCCTCAGGAGGCCACACGGTGAGTTACAAGGGATTGGAGAAGCCAGGGCTCAGGTGTCCACCTTGATGTGGGCTGCTCCTGCCACATTCCCCAAAGAAAGGCTGCTCCCACCTGTGCATGGGTCCCACTCTCTTCTGCTGGTGTATTCATCAATCCATGATTCATTGATGAATCATGGATCCCATGATCTCTGTCCCATTGATCTCTGCTGGGTTAATCTTCCTAAAGTATACAGTGGTCATATGTCCAAGTTTAACAGGAAAGCCCGGTTTTCTACTTGTCCCAACTTGATAATTATCCCAACACCCATGCCTCCAACATGCTCCAGTGTGGACCATAAATCCGTGTTGTTGCCCTAACATCACATCCCCACTCAAAATCTATTAAATGCTTCCCACTCATTGCTGATGCCCTAATTTTGCAACATTTGCATCATTTTAAAACAATAATTTATTTTTAGGTTATTAATACTATTTTTGTTTCAGGCTATGCCAGAGATTTATTTTGGTTTTTGGTTTTACATTTGTCAAAGCTAATTGAAGCAGATATAAGAGAAGGTAATTTCCAGATGACTCATCCAGAAATCAATGCATTAAGTGTGTGTGTTTGAGGAGTTAATTTTTTTGCTTTGAGTAAACAAAGTGATAGATTTTACGTTATTTTAGAGAATGAAAACAAGTACCTTGTGTAGCCTATAAAAAAGTGAGTTGAAGAATCAGTATAACAAAGAAAGCAGGTCAATTTCTAAGTTTTAAATATTTCTGTTAAATTATTCAATGTGTGGTTTAAGTCATTTTGCCTTTCTTGGGTCTTATTTACATCTATAAATTATGTGGTTGAGTTAGATGATGTCAAAGAACCTGATCACTTTAAAATTTGATTCTGTGATTATGAGTTATTTTTCAAATCAAGTCAACTTGAGAAATGTAAAGGGCTTTGCAATAAAAATCAATCTCCACATTTTCTTCCTTTTTACTCAGAGTCTGAAAAAGGAAGATAAACCTCCCAACTCCTTCAATGCCCAAATAATTTTTCAATTTAAAATAAATTAGTAAAAGTTAAGAAATCTATTTTATATTCATAGAAGTTCAGTTATTATTGTAAACAGATTCTTAACTAAATCCCATTAACTACTTATCATAAAGAATTTAACTTTCTTTTTAAAATCCTATGATTAAGTATGTATTTTTTCTGAATGGATTATTTTTCTCCTGGAATTCATTATGGTTGACATTCAAGGACCTTAGGGGTTGAATAGGACCTTTGGGTACCTGTGTTGACTATAAAAGAAGAAAATTGGTATAAATTCCTCAATGGCTATGGTGATATATTTTCTCAACGAGCTTTGTAATTAGCTATCATTATACGAATCCAGAGTGACTGTTTGGTTCTTTCACAGATCTTAAGTTAAACTTATAAAAAATTAAGAATTTAAAAAAATTAAAAAGCTATGTTTTAATATGACGTTTTACTACTAGTACTATTGTAGACTATTACTGTAGTACTATTGTAGACTATTACTGTAGACTATTACTACAGTAGTCTACAATGTAGACTATTAGTAGTTACCAAATTTAAAGAGTGTGGATTTCTATTTCGGAAGAGTGAAATTTCAGGCTATAAAAGATAACATCCCTCCTCGCTGGCCTACAGATGGTCACGCTGTGGAACTTATCACAATATCCTTCTCTATTCTAGTCTCTATGTAGTTGTTATGGGGTGAATTGTGTCCTCTGAAAATTCATATACTGAAATCCTAACTTCCAGGACCTCAGAATATGACTGTATTTGGAGGCTGGTTCTTGAAAAGTGGTATTAATAATTAAGGTTAAATGCAATCACTAGAGTGTCCTTATAAGAAGAGGAAGTTAGGACTCAGACACACAGAGAACAGATGAGGTGAAGGCACAGAGGAAAGACCGCCATCTACAAGCCAAGAAGAAAATTCTCAAAACAGATCAATTCTGCTGGTATCTTGATCTTGACTTCCAGCATACAGAACTATGAGAAATATATTTCTTTTATTTAAACCACCTAGTCTGTGATACTTTGTTATGGTAGCCTCACAAACTAATACAATGGCCAACTCTTAAGATTTTATTTTAAATGTAGAGAAGTAGAATAAGAAAGCTGCAGTGAAAATAAATTGGAAAAATAAAAAATGTGGGTATTAATAAATAATATTAAATTGGAAAATCAATTATTTTAACATTTGGGTTAGAAGAGACAGCCACAAATAACCGTATGTGATGGTAAGAACCTTGTGATGCCTACCTCGGAAAGAAAAGCTACCACCCTTCTATTGAAGGGTTGACTGTTTCTTCTTTGAATGTCATAAAGGTCCTTCATGGAGTGTTCTGATGGGCTGCTGTGGGATGTCCCAGGTCTGCCCCTCAAACATCATGGCTCCCATTTATGTGACCCCTATGCATGTACTGGAGTGCCTGGCTTCCTCCCCTGCACAGTGTCCTTGCACTAGTAAAGGGACAAGTTTGTGAATGCAGGTAACAAACAAATACAGGAGCAGGGAAAACAGATGCTATCACAATTCATCCTCTCTATTCATTTCCAAGGGAATAATCAAGACTTTGGAGAAAACTAGGTAGGTCATCCAATGAATTTCCCCATTTGGGGTTGCATGAAATATGACATATACTGAAACACTGGGAGGGGTGCAGAGAGAAAGAAGGAGAGGGAAGGAGGAAGCGAGCAGAGAGAGACATAAAGAGAGAGGGAAATATGAGAAGCAAAGAATATTTAATTTGGCATAATATGTCATTTCAATCCTCAAATTCAATATGAAATTTGTAGCAAGATAATCTCTGCTTAGATTCATGCAAATTGACTTCTATCACTCATTTCCTAAAGCTTTCCTTTTCTTTCTTTATTTTTGTTTTTCTTCAGATCGTATAAATCTTTCGCCTTTTATTTTTGTTTTTTAAGTGCATGAAGAAGACAATGTTATAGTCCAGAAGAGGACAAAGTGATTATGAGTGATACCAAATGGTGACTCAAGCCCATTGTTGCATAGATGAGTATCTATGACATTCAGGAGTTAAGGGCATACTTGGGGTGTATATAGGAAGAGAAAGTGCTGGACAAATATTTCTGGGGCTGATTCCAAAGTGCTGGAAATCAGGTTGCCCACAGATATTCATCATATGTTACTATGGGCTAAGTACAGGCAAGGCACTGAGGGTGCAGCACAGAACTAGATGGTGTCCGTGTCTTCACGGGTCTCACTCACTTCCAAGGAGTGACAAATAGATAACGAAATCCATCAAGAGATGAAGAAACAACATAGGGCAATATATGAAGAGTGCTGAGAGAGCAGTGTGAGATTACCAAGGAAGGCTGAGGAGGCCATTTTAAGGAGATGACATTTAAGCTGACATGCAAGGAGAAAGGCAAGTAAAAGGTGTGTGTGTGGGGTAAGGTATCCAAGAACATAAGAGGAGCCAGTGCAAATGTCCTGAGGCAGGGTTAAGTTAACATGATCGAGGGAGAGAGATAAATGGCTGGATAGCACTGCAGGAGGGCAACAGTCAGACGTGAGGGCAGACACCTGGGATCACAGAGGTGTGGAGATCAGAGAGATCTCCCTGGCCATGCACAGCAGTGTGGATTTGACCCTAATAGGAACAGATTTTCAGCAGGTACCTGACATGGTCTGGCTCATGCTTCTCAAAGATCACTCTGGCTACTGAGTGGAAAGTAGATTGTTTAAAGGAAGAATAGAGGGAGGAAGACCCTAAGGAGGGGTAAATGGCCTCTTGGGGTGGGCTGTCACAGAGGAGACAGTGAGAAGTACTCAGATTCAAGATAGATTTTGGAGGTACAGCCAGGTGGAGTTGATGAATTGGATGGAAAGGTATGAGGGAAAGGTGAGAACTGGGGAAAGTTAACCATATGTGTGCGGCTTTCTCTCATCTTGAAGGCTTTCTTTGCTCTGTGCAGTTGAGGAATATCCCATTAGACTAAGCCTTGCTAACTCGAAGATCCCAACACCTTTGAATTTCATCAATAAAGTGGAGATAAATATTCATTTCTCTAAAAGTTCATCAAATGCAATTAAGTACTAGTAATCATGGGGTCAAGTTCATCAAATGCAATAAAGTACTAGTAATCGTGGGATCAAGTTCATCAAATGCAATAAAGTACTAGTAATCGTGGGGTCAAACTAACCCCCCACAGAAATTCAGAATGAAGTTATTATGTTGATCATTTGGACTTAGAATCTTCTGCACTTTTAAGTAGCTACCAGAAGAGACACTTTCAGAGAAGACAGCCAAAGATAGGAGGCCAACCATGTCCCACTTTGATGTACGAACACCCCTCTCTATCCCTCAGTGAATACTTAAAATGCCAGCAAATAGTATCTCAAAACCCTGGCTGTTTTATTTCACCAGATACCAAGACAAAGGATTCTGCATCAGTTGATAAACAAAAACCTACACTGAAGAAAATTCTTTACACTGTTCCAGAAATGGCACGTTTTATATTTTCTTATCAAAATAAAAGCTACACTTTTAACCCAATTATGTTTTTATTACACATTACTTTCCATTAAAAGTTCTTCATATATGTGGCTCATCTGTAATTCTTTGACCCATGAGTTATTATTATCCTTTATTCTAGTAAGTGGTGAAGCCTCAAATTCCTTGTGATGGTTAGTCTTTTGTGTCAACCTGGCCAGGCTATCACAGCCAGTTATTTAATCAAACACTAATGTAGGTATCGCTGCAAAGGTATTTTGTACATGTGGTTAACACACACAATCAGTTGACTTTAAGGAAAAGCGAGTACCCTTGATAATGCAGGTGGGACTCATCCAATCAGACGAAGGCCTTAAGAGTAAAAACTGAAGTTTCCCAGAAAAGAAGAAATTCTGCCTCTAGAGTGCAGCATCAACTCCTGCCTGAATTTGCAGCCTGCAAATTTTGTGGTATTTCAGACTTGACTTCCACCCAATCCCTGGGGGTTATATGTATAATATAAACACAACCCTATTGTTTCTGTTTCTCTAGAAAACTCGGACAAACACATTTCTCCAGACAGTTGCTTTTATGTGTTCCTTCTGGTTAGTTCTGTCTCACCAAAGTGTACTTTCAGATTTGGATGCAGGGACTTCTGGGGCAACTGGCCTTATGGCCTTCATAGAGCTCTGTGATAAGACCAAGTGCATGGCTCCATCAACCACAGCGGTCCACAGGTGCCTGAATCTGTTTAGATATGGTCTCACCTGTCTACCTTTAGTCCCTAACTACTTATTGGCAAATCCTTCATCTTATTGAGTAGTTATTTGCCCATCTACAAAATAAAGATAAAATATTAATACCTGTCTCTTCAGGTTGTTATGAAGATTAAATTTACACCAAGCTTGCAGGAGCTTAATCAGTATTAGTGACCATGTCTTTTTCTTTCAATTTTTTTAGGGTTGGTTTGTTTCTTTCATGAATTCCCTAAGACTAGGCCTGTCTGTCATTCATTTGATAGAAATTCATTATTTTCTGTTATTTTATTTCCAATGAATGAAGCCATGCTATGCTCCTATCTCTATCCTTTGGACTGTGTCTCCTTTCATCATGTAACTGAGAAGCAGGGTGAGCCTTAGGATGTAAAGCCTGTTACACAGAGGCATGGATGCCTATCATCCACTCATTCTGCAGTGAAGAAAATCAACTTATTTCTGCTCTTAGTATTCAGCATGGCACCACATAGATCCCAGCCAATATAATCTCTGTTTCCTTGTGTGTTTCTTCCCCTCTATCAATGAATCTACAAAAATGGATAAGGTATTGTTATGAAAGTGTTTCCTCTTTGGCTCACTGCCAGGCAGCACCCTTCCCAAAATATTTGTCTCCCAACCAATTCAAAAAGAAGCTTGCTCAAAGATTGCTGAATCATGGTTTTAGTAATTACACACAGCAACGAAACAAAGAAACCAAAGAACTTTATGACAGTATGTGTTTTCCATTGCTGAGAGTGATATTTGGGGAAAGATATTTTGACCTGGTTGGAGCTAGTCAACTTTCTCAAGACCTACCTATGAAACTCCAAGAGAGAACATTTTGCCAGGATAATGGAACAGGTATTCTGAGGACTTGATGCTAATCTGTATATTGTACTATGATAATCACAGAATGTTTTTCCTCAGGCCTTTGAATTCGAGACACCTTCAGTATTGTGGTTAAGAAGGGTGGAAGCAGCACTTAAAAGACCTTTGCCAGAAGTTCCAACGGGAATGAGATATAGGCACCCATTCTTCCTTGATCAGTCTGCAGCAAGGTCAACTGCTCCTAGTCCTGTTGCCCCACAGAACTCTGTGGTTAGTTGTCTCTCATACTGCACCGTGCATTTCATTTGTGACAGTGCATTGATGTTGCATATTTATTTGGATTGATGTCTCCTCGGTTACACTGAGAGCTCCACTGGGTGAAGCGAATGTCTTGTTCACACTTGTGTTCAACTGCCTGGCCAGTGCTGAGCACCTGTCACTCATTCACCACTTACTGTATGAATGAATCCCAAGTATACTCGATTGTCAGTACATAGGGAAATGTGATTATTTACAATAAATTCCTGCAAAAGGGACTGTATCGACACACCGTGTTGTACAACTGTCTGGATATCATTACATTGGATTTTCTGTCTAAGTCAGAATCCTCATTTGCAGACAGGGAACTTCATCTGCCCCAAGGTGATCAGGCAAACTTCAGAGTCAAAAATGTATTAAGAGCTCTTACGTAACCATGTCTATTCTACCACACTCGCTCAGAAAAGTGGATATCTGCCAGACCTTCAAGATTCTACTGTGGGAGAGGGTGTTGACGAAGCACTTGTTCAGGTCACTTCTGTCTTCTTATTTTCTTTTGTTTTTTAAAACATTTTAACTTAATTTTTTGAATAAGTAACATATTCCGATAGATCATAAGTAAAGAAAACAAGATGCAGTGAAAGTCTTTTGCCAACTCCATCTCTTGTCTGATAGCAAATTCTTTCCAAGTTCCCTGCTGTTATTAGTTTTTGTGTCTCCTACAGACTTTTTTGGTTACAGACACAAATATAAATATAAATTATCCCCCCTTTTTTCTGTAAAATGTTACTTAATTATAAAAACTTTAGTTAATCAGTTCTGAAGGAAATTCAAAACAACATGGACAGTGCCAGATTCATAAATGGAAGAAATTAAATTAACCCAAAGAAAAAGGGAAACTAGAGGAAAAGAAAAGCATAGAGTAGAGTGCTTAAGTGCATTTTATTTGCGTTTCCAACATCCTTTAGGAAAGGGAAGAGGAGAGAGTCTCAGTTTGGCAGAGTGGTGGGGCTTGGCTTGGCAAGCCCGTGGGGTGTCTGTGCACTTCAAGACAGAGATGTTTGGTCATCCGTCTTTCCAAGTAAAAAGCTTAGGGTCTGCCAGGGACGCGAAGAACAATAGCAGACTGAATGGTTCGCTACAGCTTGCGGTCAGAAGAATTACATGAAATGGCACCAACGTTGTTACTATGATGGCCCTGTTGTTTTATTTCTCATTTCAAAGCTCACATTTTCCCTTGCTACCTCTCTTCTGTCATCTGGGCTATATTAATGGAGAAATGGGGAGGAACCACAGCAATTATCTGGAAAATTAAGTGGAAAAAAATCCAAATTACTTTCCCTTGAAAGGTCCCAGCAAATCTAAAAGCCAATATTTCCTATGATTGAGATGACTTCAAGTTTTCAGAACATATAATTTCTTTCAGGAGCATAAAGTTACATTTTTCAAAACACAGACATCACAAATTTCTTGTCTAAATTGTAGGCTATTATTGAAATCTGTCTTAATTTGTTTTTATCAAAATCTAGTCCTTTCCAACTATCCAAAATGCAACGATTCAACTAACACTGATTTTTAGATCAAGGCTAAAATGTTGCATATACTGAACAAGATATGTTCCCTCAAATCTATTTTCACTGCCATTACCAATGTTTGCTGCCAAGTTGAACAGCCACATGTGGTTGTGCCCGGCCAGAAATTTGGCCACGAAGCCCAAGTGGGGGCTGAGATTCAGTCTGCCATTCAGTGAGCTATGCCCTATTGAGCAGGACCTCATTCATTAGTCCAGAGGAAGGGAAGTCTATTGCTAACCAATCCACGGAAAGCAGGGACTTCTTATCATTCTCACAAAGGTGCTGTATGTTCTCCTTCAGTCCTGAAGTCAAGTACTTTCACACCATTGGCAGTAACGGATGCCATCAACAACCATGTTTCTATAGAGAGACCACCAATCAGGTTCATCTGGGATAGATCCACATTATACCTATTGACCTGGCTTAATCATTACTAATGTTACTTTCACTAATCAGAGTGTTGGGACTAGCTGACCTATTTTTATTAGTCACCCTAGTCTTGCATGCCCTGTTCAACCTCTCTTTTCACAACAAGGAGATTAACCAACAGGGCAAAAGTGAATCACTTTCCAAAGCTACACATACGTGACAATAGCCAAGATGATCACTTAGCTGGGCTACATTTCTTTTTGAAATCTACTATGAGATTGGACTATCTACAAATAATTGAAACTACAAAAACTTAAAACTAGCAAAAAACTTTACTGTTTCATGATAATTATAATAATTGTGCTATTCCCACTGACTACCACTTGTAGATATAAAAATAAAAATCAGTGAGAATAAAACAACCGTTCTGCAATGCTGCTCTGAATCTTCCACCAAGTAGTTCTGGATCTCATTATGCACATTGTAAAATCCATTCTGTGCCTTCTAGTCTGTGCTGAATTTTGGCATTGACATGGCCAACTGGATCAATACTTCAGGTAGCCAAAGGAATTCTGTAATCCTTACTGGCCCGACACGTGGATTTCAGTGAATCCTGGCCTGTGCCAGTGGGAGGGAAAATACTCGCTGTTAAGGTGCTGTAAGCCCTGTGTATTTCCCTCGTTTGTAAGGCATGTGGAAATGATGTCACGGCAGGGTATAAAACCCAACTGCTTCCATGCTTTTCTTTCACGGAATTAACTGTGTCTATACCTAGGATTCTGTCTTCACTTTGGCAGTTTGGGTCAAAAGCTGGTGCAGGTTCTAAATAAGACAAGACAGTAGACCAAGGGTTGGCAAACTTTTTCTGTAGAGGGATGGGAAGTAAATATTTTGGGCTTTGCAGGTCAAACAATCTCTGTTGCAATTACTTAATGCTGCTGTTACAGTGCAAAAGTAGCCATAGATGATGTATAAACAAATGAGCATGGCTGTGTTCCAATAAGACATTATTTACAAAAGCAGGTGGAAGGCCAGATTTGCCTGAGGGCTGCTGTTAAAGGACAGACCTGCCCTGTGGGATGAGTCCAGTAGGTCTTGCCCATTGGCTATTTATGGGAAAATGTGCCCTTATATGATCACTATGAGTCACAGCTAAGTCCTCAGCTTATCTTTCCTTAACTAACAAGGCATTCTTGGTTTCTATGGCAGAAAACTATTCAGAGACTTTCAGAGTTGATTTTGAGAATCCCATTACATCTCAAGATTTAGTCATAATTTA